ACACAGACACGACAGTGCCGCTGCCACGGAAGAGATGGATGCTTGGTTCGTGCCTCCTGCCGCCTTAAATCCCCCCTCGCTTCACTCGTTCGTTATATATATATATATATATATATGCAAAACAATGCGTTTATTCATGCATGTTTTGTATCGCAATTTTTGTAGTTTCTTTCATTACACATTGAGCGGTCAACCAAATTATTTCATGCGAATGATTAAACCACTGTTTTTTCCAGGGTCGGAAAATATCCGGTATCCGATGAAAGATCGTTGTTTCGATAGATAAAACATTGAAAACTGCGTTTTAATGATAATTGCATTATTCGAAACGAAGCTTGATAATAAGTGACTTCACCCACGCGCCACTTTCAGATGGGGTGCACGCGGTATTTAATCTGCGATTAACCGCCTCCACGAAATCAATGCCGCGCCCAAGGAACCTCTAACAAAGCGAGATTTCACCACCTAATTGTTTAATGACCTCCAATTATACCGCGAAGCGCGCGATTACGGATGCAAGGTAGACGACTAATGGCGGCTAATGAGTCACTTATCTTTCGACTTCCTCGATACAAGTCCGGGTCGATTTCGTTTCGTGCCGATAGGAGGTGAGCCGGACATAAATGAGAGGAAATTTGCATTTAAGAGAACATTTGCATTTATCGAAATATGGAAACGTACCTTTGAGAATTCGCCGCATTTTATTCATAATTAATGAGAAGCGAGAAATTATTGATAAGAACTATTAACTGAACAAGAAATCTTAAGAAGAATTAATAATTATTTAATTAATATTATTATATACATTTCTTCTCATGGTTAGATTTTATCTTGTAATAATAATTAATATAATACAATCATGTAATTATTAAAAATATATATTTGTTGTATAAATATATATTTATACTTGTTGGATATGAGTAAGAATGATCTTTAATAAGGGTGAAAGTTTTATCTCAGAGAGATTTAGCCCTCTGATATAATTGGTGTCTTATTCTTTTCGTACATTTGACCAGGCACTCTTCGCGAGTTATGGGATCAGCATGGCGCACTTTTGCCCCGAGTTTTACCCGTGCAGTTCGTAAATGACATACGGCGGTGAGATATCGGCGGGCTCTGCCGATATTGCGAAATTTATCGCGACCGGGGTGAACTTTTTTCATCGGACAACGGATTCCCAGCACAGCATACTGCTCGTACGTTGTTCATTTCAATGAATCGCCAGTGCATTACGAAGAGCACTGATTTGATTTTTCTCTGATGTACATTAATCAATTTTCAAAAAATCATAATATTTTACCAGACAATAAATATCATTTTTTTTTCTTCAGGATAAAATATTAGGGTTTTTGACTTATTATCATTTATTAATAAAAATCAAATTTCTTGATTGTTTAATTAATTTAACACAAAGAAGCGAAATAGAAAGTTAATCCAAACTGTTCATAATTAGAAAATTGTAAATAAAGGTATTTTAAAATTCTCTGATCTCTAAAGTGGAAAGGACAGTTAAGAAACTTTGCCGATGTTAAGAAATTCTACGTGCTATTTTGCTCAGAATCGACAGTTAAGTTACTTAGCCATTGTCCTTTGACACTTTTGCAAATGGAGCGAATGTATCAAGTAGTTTGCCAATGAGTGTTAACGACGTAGAATCGATACTGACTCACCGAATTTGCTCCGTATCCTTCGAGAAGCGATTTATCCGTAACCTGAAGGACTACGTGATACGGCGATTCCGGTAGCAATGTCTTCCTGGCGTAGATTTCTGGAAAATGTGAGATAAGTTTGCAATCACGAGTACGGAAGATATACGCACGGACATCCATCAAAAATGAATTGAAATGCGAATAGAGGCAACGTTGGAAGAATGCACGGTACTTACTAGGAATAATGGCGGTAGAAGGCGCTTGATCCGGATGTTGAGGATGCTCGATCGGAAAAGTATCGTAAGTGATGTTCAAAGCGTGAGCGTTATCGCCAATCAGGCGAATGCTGTACTGATTGCTAGTCACCACGTCCGCGTCTTTCACGATCACGTGATTATCGTCTATCAATTTATAGCCCTGTTGCAGAAAAATGTTTATTCCTCGTTAGAATACAAAAAAATTTATTATAATTTAATATTAATATTGTCTTTATACATTTTTAATGTCCACCTCATTATTTTCTTATTATTATCTTTATTTTTCCAGTGATTTTCTTTTTTAGTTTATTTTTATTTTTGTTTTTTTACCCACTGTTGTCATAGAATAATGTACAACACACTTCAGTTTTATTATATTCTTACAAGATTTCGTGCGAAAAATACGTGAAGAAAGTATATTCACTGCAATTACTTTCTGCAATTTTTAACAGCGCCAGATTTTTTCAATAATAGTTTTAAGTATTTTTACTGCACTCAGCAAAGCATGTCGGATTTCGATTAACCAATCCAACTTCGCCCATTAAAGTCTTCAATTACGTTCGTAGAAACTCTTCAGGTATTTCACAGCACCCAAACCTAACACTCGTTTCTTCATAGAAGTGAGGAAATGAACGAAAAGTGACAGCTAAAAAAGGAGCAAAAAGAGATGTTTGGTAAAGATTGAAAAAGTGGGAAAGGAGAAAGGCAGTTTGACGAGCATTGGAGAGTGAGACACCCTAGGGGTTTAATCAGGATCAGTTCCAAAGGCTGTTTCTCTCCTATACCTCATCATTCTCGTATGTCTCTTGTGGCGCCCATCGCACTTGGCGTTTCCTTTTTATTATGCGCGTCGGTCGCAAAACAACGCGGTAATTACGCGAACAATGAGCGCTTGATTAAGTCTCGTTTCCGACGTTCCGCGACGCCGCGGTTAAAAAACAAGATTTATTCACGAAAAAACACTAAAATTTGCCAAACAGAATACTATAAAACGTTGGATATGCTAAGCGAAAAAATAAGAACACTTGGAATTATCTGTACATAAATGTCTTGGTAAAAATATAACAATCTTTGTTTTCATATTAATAATTAAAAGAAGAAAAAACATCTTTTTTAATAAAGATTTTTTTATTCCATGATTTTTTGCTGATATTTTTCATTTTTAATATTTTAATAAAAAGATATAAATTTGGATAGAATATCTTATTACTCTTGATTTCTTAATTGTTATTAATTTTACACGAATATTATTTAAATTTTTATTCAATCATAATTTTATTTTTTCAAGAAAAAATAAAATAAATATCATAAGATTCACAAAATTAGGATACAACTAATTGTAAGATATAGATCGGATAAAATTTTAATACAGATTAATGGTGACGATAAATCTGCGAGTTCTTTAGTATCAGAAAGTTAATTGGTTCCGAGTTACTCGAAATTATTGTAGCGAGCATTAATTTACACCGTTGGCTCGATCTTGTCCTTTGATACTGCAAACTTACCTCGGTAAAGTCCGGAAGCGTTATAGCGATGGAAGTTTTGCCTTGCGCTGTGGGAGGATTGTCGTCTTGATCCAGGATATTGATGGTAAGAACGTCCGTTTGCACGTGCTGCGCTCCGTTCTTTTCCCAAACGACGCATCTCACTTCGATCTGAACGCGAGGTCCAGGCCCTCCTGGAGGACCGATAATATCTCGGTCCAACGACGCGTTCGCGAACAATTTATTATCAACTATGTGAAAATAATCGCTTCCTAAAAGATGAAAATAAATTTCATCTCATTATTGCAGCATACTATAAGGTCAGTATTAAATGTTATATAGCAGTTACAAAAGTAGATTGTAATAGTCGAATGTACATAATTAACATAATATATATATATATATATATATATATAATTAGCATAAATTAATATAATTGAATGAATTCTGGGAAAGAGAGAAAACAAAGGCGCAAAATTTATCAGATTATC